ACGTTATATTTATATCTACTATATATATATTTGACCGTGTAAGAAAATATTACGTATACTGTAATAGAGGCAACAATGTGTGTATGTGTGTATTCGTATGTGTATTTAAGAAATTTCCCGGTCATATCTAGAGAAAAGAACCGGTGCGTGTCAATGTCAAACGGATAGCAGAGTAGATCAACTGACTGAATAACAGACTGAACGACAGACAAACATATTCCACACAGCTAAGCAAAAATTATAGCCACTGGATCTAGCAACGTAAACTATCTCATGTCAAAGCGGCGGTACGCAAAAAAGAATTCCAGGCGTAAAAATCGCTTTGCGAAAAGTCGCAGAGACACCGCTTTCAAGGGGGAAACACGATTCCAAGTGGAAACTCGATTTTCACAATCGCGAAAAAACGTTGCCACGCATTCGAATCCGTGATAATTGGAGACACGGAAACAGGCTGGAAAAAACCGTGTACAACCGTAATTATCCATACGTGATCATAATATAAAGGCAATATCGTTGTATGGACATGCTGTTTCGAAAATTCCCTGACATTCCCGTATTTAACCGATGACAAACTGCTCGATGGATCTCTCTTCCTCTCCCTTTAGTCATTTTGCGAGCATTGCGATCACATCTCAGAGCGGTAGAGCCATTCGATAGTGTGCGTCTCTCGACGGATAATTTTTCTTAAAAGTCGATTACACAAGTTGCACAATTAGCGGAGGAAACCAAATAACGATACGTCACACATCGAAGCGATTTGCGAGAAATGTGGACTTTTGAATGTCGGAAAACAACCAAGTCGGTAGCAAATGGATTAAAGCGTACGATTGATTGGACTGAACATACACGCATAGGTGTACATGAGTGTCACACGCTATATACAACACTTGTACACCTGTATCACATACTGCAATTCACTTTGATTTGTCGACTCCGCGTTTCCCGGCGGCCACCCAATCCGTGGAAAATGTCGAGGGCTTCTCGTCGCAGCGAATCTCGATGGCATGCATGATGATGTCTCTGGTTGGTTGGCCACCGGCCAAAAACACCGACAGGAGCCTTACCGCCGGAAGGAACCTCAGCCCGCAGGCGCGTTTTCATGCGCCAAGGAAACATAATTAAACTAACAATGTCGGCCACTCCGCGCCCCAACCTCGTCTCTCTTCCTTTTCACGAGGCGCATCTCGTTTAATGACGACGAAAATTTTCGTTAGCAACCCTCGCCCGAGAGGACTTCCACTCGGAATTAAGCAAATTACGATTGCGGCCAGGGAAAAAATAGAACAAAGCTATCGCACACGGTGAAGGAAGGGGATGATTTCGTTAGAGCGATTTTCTCTGAGGAAGATTTCACGCTAGGACGAATTCGAGGGGTATCTCGTGCGAGAAAGGGAGGGGTATCTCGCGCTACGGCTTCGATCTCGCGATTCTCTCCGGGATGAAGAAAGATTGTTCGAGAATTTTCCACACATACAGAATATTTTAGAATTATTCAGGCGAAGATTTCACCGGCTAATGGAACTCACGGGAGGGAACGAGGTAGTTTTAATAAACATGGATCCGCAAACGAGAGTGCGGTGAGCTTCCTTGCATAAATTTACCACGACGTACGGCTGCAGGTGTTCTTCGTATTCATAATAAGCGAACTGTAAACAGACGGCACGGACGGATCGCGCACCAAGACGATTAGTTTTTGTTCTGTGCCTCTATGTTGATTCGTTCACGAGTTATGGCCCTACCGAGTTTCGGCACGCCCGGCATTAGTGAAACACTGACGCGCTATGTACGGCGCGCACGTGAGCGGCCGGCCGAGCTTAGCGCAGCGCGAGGGCGAGGCCGCGTTACATAACTTATGTTACGTAAATGGCTCTCCGTTTCAATTATGCCGAACCGATCGGAGTGTGGCTCGATTTAATTGCCGGTATCTTTGATTCCTGGGCTTGCAGCGATTTGAAATAAAATTCGCTGGAAAGCTGCAACTCCAACGTTTCCGATAAGTACGAAATCGTCCTTCGAAAGGAGGATTAATAAAGTTTGGTTACTGTGATGGAGAAATATCGATGGTCGCTTCGAGACTGAGAATTGATCGAGACAGGAATTGGAAAACTTCAACTTATATTCGTAATATTACAAAGCGTCGACTTTATTGGTAAAAAGCACAATTAAGAGATAACGATAGTATGAGCTTTTCACTGAATTTGATATTACCGAAACTTAATTTACTTTGCTCGATGAAATTTTGAGGAAACGACTACGTAAAAAGAAAATTATGTATTAATTATAAACTTCGCGTAAGTTAATAAATTAGAACTAAATGTCCGAGATGTGTGCCCGAAAGATTTAACTTAGAGAATGAAGAACCGAATATCATACAATTAGTTTACGAATCGATGTTCATTAAGACTTTTCGACTGCATCGATGAGTTCTATTAGCCAGTTAATTTTCTTATCTGCAATTCTAAAAGGCTCCGCACAATATCATTGGAATATGGAGTCAAGACTTATAGCTAACTAATTAGATACTCGAAATTACTTTTGTTTCGAGAAAACTATTTTACCGCAAGCATCCGTCTCATAAGAAGCCAGAAAAAGAAGAATAGTTNGGGGGGGGGGGGGGGGGGGCGAAAAGAATGATTAGTATTACGGCCGTAAAGGGGTTGAAAAGAAAGTTGCGGTTTTTCTCGCTCCGTAATCTTGTCGAGAGACTCGTTTTTACAGCGGCTGCCATCTGTATCACAACAGGATTCTACGACAACGAGGCAAAAAATCCGGCGAGCGAAGGTATCGAACGTCGAGCAAATAACAGTTGTGTTCTCCGCCGGTAAGATTATGCAGCTACCATTTAAGGGTGCTTTCCAGCAATTCTTTCCACCCTCCGCCAGGTGGCGGTGCACGAGCTCTATCGATAAGGTACTTAGCAAACTTGTATCTTATGCGGAAAGCAATTACCTCGTGTTGTGTAAACTGCCTAAATAGATCCCTAAACACGAAGATACACAATTCGCCATATCTTTGAACCTGGATGAATTTTTAAACTACGATTTTCGAATCCTCTTCTCTTGATTCGGAAATCCTTGGATCTCGGCTTTTTTCCCCGGCGCGTACTCAAATTATCGGGGTTTGGATCATTTATATATCGGCCCATAAAAATCCGGAAATTTCAGTCGCTAAAGCCGATGGTGTATAAGATATATGAAAATTTTGGATTAATTAATTCCCGTTTTCGCGGATTCTCGTATCCAAGGATTTCGCAAATCAATTTCTTCCGCATCTATACAGATTCGGGACGATTGAAATTTCCTGCGAAACGATAATTATAACTCTCGGTGTAAAATAATCATGACGGACAACCTAGCAAACTTATGAGGGTAGAAATATCCCTACAGAGCCTCGATAAACTAGTCTTGTAACGCGCTATGACGAACTATCAATCCTTCAGCAGCTAATGAGGCAAGCTATATGGAGGGAACCGTCACACCCCTTCTTCATGATGGAAGTAACGCGATTAATTATCTTGTAAAGTTCAACTTGTAATTTTCGATCCCATAAAGCCTGCTATTTATCTTCTCTTATCCTCACTTTTACGATTCCGGGGGCCTACGCCGGTGAATCCCCAGCGAGGGGGGTGTAAACAGAGTAGGGGTGGCGCACGCTGAAGAGAACGAAAGGGGAGAAACCTGTACTCCTTGCAGAGGTGGCGGAATGAATCCGAGCGAACATCAAGAGAAAACGAAATGTTGCAAAACACATTCGACATATAAACGACACCACAACTGCGACGCGCGAACAGGAATACAACGAGTGGAGACACCAGTAAAACAGGTGAACAACATGACAGTAAAACAGTGACACTAGAAGAGACGAGAACACGAATACGAAGGTGAAAAGCATGCATGAAAAGAGTCAGAAACAACGATAGAAGACAGGTCAAAAGGAGAAGTGACAAAGGAAGAAGAGTGAGAGAAAGAAAGAAAGAGAGAGAGAGAGAGAGAGAGAGAGAGAGAGAGTCTTTGTCGTGTTATTCGATCATTTATCGTAGAATTTAAAAATTCGCCCGTTTTTTCTAAAAAATATTTCTTTCAACTTTTTTCTCAACTCCTGCTAAAAACAAAAAAAACAACAAAATATCGCTTAAACAGGACTCTGTCTCTCTTCCTTCTTTTCCTTAAACTAACGAAATCAGCTGGAAATGAAAACAAATAGAACACGAGAGAGTAAAGCGGACAAACTGTAGCACGTGTGGGAGTATCAATGATGGGAAATATTGACGATGCTGTGCTGTGCACAGGTGGTGCTTTCCATAATGTAAGAATACCATCTGCAACATCACGCATAATGGCGGCATCGTAAATCAGGCCTTTGTCCCGTGCTCACGTGCGAATTTCAAGTCTCCAGAGAGATCTATTATAATCTGCTCATTGTATATACAAGTATTTATTCTTCCCTTGCCTCTGTACCTTTCAGGAATTTGCATAATTGCACATTCATGCTATGTTATTTACCGGCAAATACTTGTCATATTTTCCGCGGGAAATAATATCAAGTATCCGCGCATTATGGGATCTGATGGAAAGACCGCTATGTTAATCGAATACCTCAGTGTTTTCAAGTGGCATAAATTACACAGATTCGCATCCAACACTAGATTTACAATGCAAATAATATTCTCGGCTTAGCAGATAGATGATAATTTATTCATGACCGCGCCGTTCGTGAAACATTGATGGCTAATTAACCCCTCCGAAATTTCGCCCTCGGAACGTCTATTTTTCCCCCGTGAAACGCGAAACGTGCCAAGAGAAAGAGCCGATCCGGCTCTGAAATCCTGAAGGGAGAAAAGGTACCTCACACGCCACTTTCGATCTAATGGATTCGATTTTCACGAGCGTATATACGTGTATGCCGGCCGGTCACAATACCCGGCGGTATTCTTGCATCATGGGCGTTGTGCTGTTGTTAAGCTCGCGAGAGAGAGACGACGAAGCGAGGTCGCGGCTTACCTGCCGGAACTGTCGTATACCGCCATTGATCCGCAGCGAGTCCGCGGCGATGCCGGCGATTCCGTCGCCCGGCTCGCGGAGTTGCCGCAGCGAGGCGGCGCTCGGCGCCGCGCCGGTGTGCAGCGGACAGCAACAGCCGGAGCAACAGCACGCGGATGCCTCCGGCTGCGAACTCTGCCGTATTATGCGTGTGCTGGGCGACGTGGTTACCAACACCGGTGGCGGCGGCGCCTGACACGGGCAGCAGTGATGACCGCTTTTCACGCTCTCTCTTACAAAAACAGAAAACATCACGCGGTTACGCGCTGTTGGCCATCCTCTCTGTTAACAGATAACAATCTTTCTTTCTCCGAGGATTTGAATTCCCTCCTCTTTTCTTTTTTTGAAATTCCAACTGCACGTTAATTTCACAGATTAATTTGACGAGTGAATTTCATCGAAAACCGCGTGATACGCGTGCATCGTTAAACTGATGTACATCAAAGGTTCCAAAGGTTATCGATAGTAATTTCGAGTGCGTATTATCAGCAGTAATTAATATAATTAATATCATCGGCAATAACGGTTGTTGCGACGTCGAGGAATCGATGGGGTTTAAGTTGTGAGTAAAATAACAGATCTCAACTTCTTCCGAGCGAAACTTCATCGTAAATAAATATCGGAAGTTCTCCAATTAATTTCAACTGTTCTGTTAGCAAAGGATTTATTTAAAAATTAATTACGAAGTACGTTATTACTTATTATCGCGAGTAGTTTCGATCCTCTCATTTTATTCGAAAGAGAGGATTCGCACTCCAGAAGAGCACTCGATCGTAAATTTATTAGAGAAAGCGCGCTGGATATAAGGGTCGTGCTTTTCTAAGACACCTCGTAAGATATTGTGTAAACGTTGAAGACAGGAAATTTTTCGCGAAATTTTCGAGCGAGATTTTAACCAAAGCCGTCGGTCGATAACGTCGGATGTGAGCAATTTAATTTCGTCGATGGAATATGTCCAGGTTCCGCGGAGGGGCTCTTTGTTTAAGGGCGACCTGAGTCAGGGATCCTCAATTTATATAGGACGTCTCAGGTAGTGAGACTGTCGTTTGAATATATAAATATCGCGTACTTCGACCTTCGACGGAAAGTGAAGTCCCTCTTGGTTTCTGAATAGCTTCTTAGAATAACAATGGATCTTCTCCTCCTAGAGACTGAATACACTTATTTTATGTTACAAACATAAAGGATCAGCTTATCGAGCGTGACCCTTCAAATAATGCAATATAATGTCGTTCAAAATATTCCTTTCAACTGCGTTCTTACACATGACGAACCTGTGGTCTGTTACAAATTTTCAAACGCGTTGACTCAGCCAGTGAAGCGCGATCTCTCAGAGCGAGTCTTCAATTTTCATTCGAATCCGTAAGATTTGATCCGTCAGATGCCTTCGTTCTTCTATATTTTACCTTTCTTTAATTTAGATCCCTTTGATACTTCGTAATATTATATTTTCATTTTTATGTGAGCCTAAACACTGAGTAAGTTCAAGCAGAAATGGGAAAGTCTTAGGTTTCTGGCGTCTGATAAATTCAACTAGGCCGCTAACAGCGAACGACCAGTTAAAATATGATCGCCGCGAAAAGCTGCCATAAAATGAAAAGATTTGAGAAAGATCAACCTCGCTATATTCACGTAGAGGATTACCGCTGTTGCCATTTTTTATACGCCGTTTCTCTATCTCTGGGAATCCCCGGTGTGTATTTTCCGGCTGTCAGAGGGTCCCAGGAGTTACAGGACGTAAAATTTCCACAGCTCAACCTCTGACCCGGTGAACGAGATCTGGAAACTCGCGACGTTGCAAGCGCGCGAAATTCTCTGGACCGGCGAAGAGGGAAGCTTCTCTTCCGCCTGGGAGATCCTCGTCTAAGGAAACAAAGGCCTCGCATTTTTCTGAGTGCGACGCATTTCCAGGACGGCGATTCTCAGCGAATTGCCAGGCGTGCTTAGATAAAAATGGGCGATTCGTAGCAATTCTGCGAATAGATTCCTCCTATCCTCGCGGTCCAGGTAAAAATCCACGCTCCGCAGATTTCACAGATCCTTGATGCGGCCAGACCCGTCGCTAAGATCGTGTATCCTGGCATTAAATTGCCGCACGAGATGTTGCTTTCGAATCAGCGCTCTCGGAGTGACCCTCGAGAGATCACGCAGTACTGGCGGTTATTTGTGTTACTGACAAAGTTCCCGGTACGAAATCTCTACGCACGCACACACGTGAGCTGACTCGAATCGAAATTTTGATGCCACTCTGACGCTCTTAACCCTTTTAGTGCCGGGAGCCGATATATCGGCTCCTGCTACACCGGCGAGAAATGCCAGAGCCGATATATCGGCCCGCACTTTGTAGCGCTTTACTATTCGCATTGCGAGAGATCTCTATCAAAATAAATTTAAAATACGTTATAAATAGTCTAATTTCATTACGAGAGAATTAAAATAAATAATTTTTAAATATTGCTTTTCGTTTGGTTTTTATGAGCCTTTTACCAAATCCTAGTAAAATCGGCCGGTTATCTTCGCATAAGCACCTCTTTTTCGCCCGGCACTAAAAGGGTTAAGGATAGTTTGCGTCTACTTTGATGGTTCATACACCAATGAAAAACTACTTTGACGATAGAGGACGATCTTATTAACTTCTTTCTTGAACCTTTAATTCTGCAGATTGAGAATTTTCGTTCTACCTTCGACAATCTATTTTAATCAACGATCTATACGGTAAAACAATGAAAACGGAAATTTCAGACATCATGAGAATCAAAGTAGGAAATAATATGATATTATTAGAATTGAAATCGAACCTATTTTACCATCTTAGCTTTCACTATTCGAACTCGAAATAATACGCAATAACGCATTTTGATGTCTCTTAACGTGTGAATCAACTTGATTAACCGGTTTATAGTGAAATACAATGAATCTAATATATGAAAACCAACGTGCATGAAAAAATCTATACCATTATTCCTTTAATTAAATATAGATATACGCGTGTATAGAAAACTACCATTTTTTGTTACTACTTTTTCCAAAGCATTTCCTGCAGATTGTATGAATATTGTAAAAAAACTTTTTGGACGTGACCTGGAGCATTAACGTCCTGAGAGAACAACGCGTTTCGGCGATGGATGAATAAATAATGCGGGCACGCAGGTGAAATAACGAAATCACAAGCCATATCGGCGGATAAACCCGCGGAGCGTATCTTCGTTTCGTGCGGGTCTTCCATCGAGTGCTGTGTAGAAGCACTCCTTCCGATTCTATTACATCCGAACGCAAGTTTATGGCAGCATGGCCGACTAATGTTCGCGGAGTAGTGAAACTTTGCCAATTACACGAGTCGAAACTTTTTGCGCGTGCTTAAAGCTGCATGACCGTCGTTTCCTTCTTTTGACACGTGCCAAGTCTTTATGGATCAACGCTGTCGTACAATGCGACGGCACGAGAGTCCTAATTTTTCTCAATTAGGCGTACATTGTAACGTAGTAGCCGTGGGAATTAGCAATAATAACGGATTCGGCGGCTCGTACGTTTAAAGAAAGTAATTAGCCGGTCACGATAATATCCCGACGTTTATAATTTCACACATTCGCTTTGTACTTCTTACTTCCTTGTATTCCCTTGTAGACTTTTTTTTTTTCTTTTATATTTATACTTCTTTATATTGCTCACAACGTTCACCTCTATACCTCTCCACATCTCCCAACTCGCCCTTTTATTAATCTCGCGCACACGTGTTCAACTATGGAGAGAGCGGTCTTTGCTTTTCATTCTCGACCGGGCAAATAACTATTCTGTACCTGGCGCGTATACGTGTGTGCACGTGTATTAACAAACACAGAAATCACGCAGCGCAGCAGTCGGCTCGTGAAAAATAAATGTCACGGCGATATCGACGAATGTGTGCACTCTGCGTATGCACGTCTATACCATTTCGACCAGAGTGAGAAATAGTCAAGCGCCATTAAACATTTCTATACAGAGTGTTCCGAAATTAGGCCGGCAAACTTCGACTACTTATAAAACTGAAGATTGCGTTGGGGTTGCTCAAGCAAGTAAAATTAATATTGTTTGTTACCGATTCGCGAGTTCAGTATCGTAACGTTTCTTTACTGTTTATTCGAAATTCGTTTTCAAAATGGAAGTTTTGTTTCTTTTTTTTTTTTTTATTTTGATAAACTAGTCGATATGCGTTTTATTTACGGGGAAGCTGGATGTAGCAGAAGCGGCCAACACTTCGAACAACTGTTGCAAATAATTCACTCCAGTGCCAAAACGGCTCATTTGCCGGACAGAAATAACTCGTTTCGGTGTCCTTTGCACCGGAAGTGTGCCGGTCTAATTTCGGGACGTCCTGTAGACTCGCGTAACGAAAATCGCGCACTGGCAATGGCAGGCTGCAGCGGAATCGTACGGAGAACGTTGCGTCATTTTCTTCGAAAACGACGTCACGAATCATCGATAGATAGAGGAGAGAGGTTTCCCTGCGGAATATGCAACGAGAGTTCTGCTCCGCTCTCACCTACCTGGAGACGCTGCGGGCCAAGTGAAGAGCCGAGGTGGGCGCGAGGGAGTCCCTTCGGTCGCATCTGCATCTGTACTGATGCGACTGCCTGGACGAGCGGTAGGACGCCGGCTGGGCCTGCAACTGCTGCACTTGTGGTTGCTGGTGCTGCGGAAGTTGCGGGGCCTGCGGCTCCCCGTCCAGCCGACAGTGAAGCTCGATGTCCGGTACCGATCTGGTCGCCGGGTCCTCGTTGGTGCCGCTCTCCTCGGAGCCGCCGAGCCCGGACACGGACAATTGCGGCGAGGCGACCAGGAAGGTCGCCCGATCCTGTCGCGTGAGCACCGGCTTGCCCTGAGACGCCGCGGCCACCACGACCGGCGGCGGCGGTTGTCTGCCCAACAGGGCCGCCGTCTCCTCATTGCCGCCGTAATCGGTACCGGCACCACCTTCCTGACCAACCGCGTTGCCGTTCGTGTTCATCTCGAGCCGGCTTTGAATCCACCGCGTCCGTCACGTTGCCATACCCTGGAACAGGTGTTGGGCGAACTTAGAAACCGGCGCCAACCCGGAAATTCGGATTCCGATGAAACGTCGCGCGCACGGATGGGTACGTCCAGGTGTACCGATGGACGAATTTAGCAATTTAACGCCGCTGCCAAGAACTTGGGTACATAATGCGAATAAATAGCGGCGGCCCTCTCTTCGGGATTCTATTCCTAATCTTTCGACTTAGAGGCGTTGTCTAATTTGCGAGAGACTCGTCTTGAAACGTCTCGAGAAACGTCTCTGCCTGTCTCGTTTAGACAATTCCGTCTGACGATTCCACGTCGCTTCGCAGATACCTTCGTTTGAGCCGCTTTTTGCAACCCCACGCTGGGGTTAAGATCGTGAGGGGAAAGGGGAAAGAAATCTGAAGCGTCCTGGAATTATCGGGGATTCGGGATGTCAAATATTATCCGTACGGGGGACTCTCAGTCAGCTCTCTCGCAATTCAGTTCAGACACGAGCGCGGCTCGTGAAGGGGAGCGGGGCGACGTCTGCATTTCGCATGAATCACTGTAAGTACGAAGTCGCGCATCTAAAGTTAGTCCTATACATTATTTACTCATATGGTCCACCTGTGCTACCACACAGGCTGCGTCACACGGACGCACGGTTGCTCCACTTCCGAAGCGCGGAATTAGTGGGCGGAGGGAACGGTGAAAAACAGGCTCGTATCTCGGCGATTCAACAACGCGGTGCATCATCGGTATCAGCGGCGGGCAGGGAGGGTTCGAAAGGGGCCAGGTGAATCCCGGTTTCCGGGCCGTCGCCGAGCGGTAGCCACCGGTGAATTTCGACTATCACCTTCCGAAAGTGTTTCGAGAGTATCGACCGCGGGCGCGGCGGTGGTGTCCGGGCTGGTTTGTGGCCTTTCCGAGATTTCCGGCGCTGGATGTGTGCCGGCGGCGACGGCGGCTCGCCGCAAGATTTACCAAGCTAGCATCGTCCGGCTGGTTAGGCCGCTGACGAGTCTCGTCACGTACACACATACGTTAATATATAGAGGGTGATCCATTTCGAGCGCGTTGTTGCGCGGAGAATGCGAGCTGCGGGGCAGTAAACGTCACCTGGGTTTATTCATTCACGAGGATCGCGCTCGGCCGGGCCGAGGCCGGGCTGAATTAAGAACGAAAGGTGAATAATGTCGATGTGCAATCAATACTGAATAGGGCGCGTTTCGATGAAAATTTCACGTCGGGCTGCCGCATGCGAGGAATCGACGGCCTTGCATTCAATTTTCATCGGCAAATGACGGCCGCAGATCGGCCGTGGTTCTGCCCGGGAACGAACTAACTCACGCTTGTTGCGGGCCTCGCGCGGTTGACGATGAATTCGCGCGGCGCGCGTCTGGAACGGCCTTTTGTATATTAACCTCGCCCGCCTTCCTGTTGACTTAACGTTGCTCTTGACTACATGCTAATTCAGGCGAATCGTTAATTTCGCCGGTGACTTCTCCGCACCGTGGAAAATTTCGTCTCTCTCGGCGCACGCGGAAATATCTCGCTTTGCGAAACGACCGTGTCGTCAGAGTGATTTCGTGACGGAGCGAAGTCGAGTGTATAAAAAGCACATTAGCGCAATTAGATGGTCGCGAAGTGTATAAAACGAACGATCCTACAAGGGGAATTACAGCCGACGTTAAGAGTCGTCGTAAAAGGACGTCTATTAGGCCAGCAACGCTCTCTTTAAGTTCCGTAAGCCCGCTTCGCCGCGATAACGAGCGATATCCCTTTTCCCAATTCACTTAACGAATTATCACGCCACGAGATCTCGTCAGCTCTCAGTCCGTAGCTCGACGAAAGATTCAGCGATATCGCTGATAGAAGTTTCTTGCATTTCTTGAACGATCACAGCTCGTTAACTTCTGTCTAATAACTGAGAAGTAAAAATAGAGATCCCAGTCAAAATGTAACCTTTTCCTCGCAGTTATTGTGTGCACGGAAGATGCGCAAAATCTGAACTTATTTACCGAACGAAAGCGGAACAACAAATGGACGAGGAAACTATTCAATTGATTAATGAGCAAACCTGCTGGAATGGAAGTACCTTTGAATAAAACTGCCACCAAGTTGTCATCCATTTTTCACACAACGCGATATTGTTACAACAGATGAAAACGCATTAATATTAAACAGTAATTGGACGGGTGTCTAGGAAACTGCATACACTTTTACCAGGGATAATTTCGAAATTAATTAAACGTAAAGAGGCACACGTTGCGGGGCGTATCAGATATGCGGGATATACGCGGTAGGTTGTTCCTTGAATATGTAGATCGCACGGGAAATTTCCTCCTTCCGCGTGCTACTTGTTTACGAACAACGGTAACAAAAACAGCGGCAAAAAATAAGGCGCAAAGTGGACGGTAACTTTTTTACGTGGCGGCTTCGCGTTCCCTCAAGTGCGCGATGTGCCGGCAACACGTTCAAGGCAGAACGCTAGATAAAGATCAGACAATTGTGCTCAGTTTGCGTTCAGTAGACGAGGGAGAGAAGTAGTTCGTAGCTGCTTGAATAATATTTCGAACAAGCGACGCGATCACTATTGCACGAGAGGCTCAGCCGGGCGCTTCTATAAAACACGGGATAAGAAACATACGCATCTCGTACGCAAACTTATGCCTTTCCTCAGGCGTTCAATTTTTCAGCGGCTCCTTCTCTCTCTCTCTCTCTCTCTCGCGCGCGCGCGCGCGCGCTCCGAGCTTCGCAACTCCTCGCTCGTTACTTCGCATCCCCGAGAGTCCTTATCCCCCGCTCTTTGGGTCTCACGAAGTAATTTTTCGCCGTCGAAATACAACCGAGCTCGTCGTTTCCGTCAGGGGCAAAGGTGAGAGGTGAATATCGGCCGCCACGCGAGCGCGGACAAAATTTCTCTCCGATGCGCTTTCCCCATTTTCACGAGAACGTTATTTGAGAATGAAAAAAAAAAGAGAAAGGGGAACAAAAATACAGCCGGGCGGATATAAAGGACGCGATACCTTTTTGCGACTCATTATGTCCTATGTGAAACAACGAAAAGATACAGATTGGCAACGGCGATCGTGGGAAGGGTTGGAGGGAGGAAGGGGGAGAGAGAGAGAGAGAGAGGGGAGGAAAGACGCGACGAAAAACGTGATATATAATCACGTACTATATAATTTTAGTTATGGATCGAGACGTTTCGCGGGCTTCAGTGGCCGGCCGAAAAAGTGCGACGGATATCGCGCACAAATTAGTACATTAATTAAGCGCTAATTTAGCCGAGCGGCGTTCGTAATTCTTACTAATTACTCAGTATCCCGCACCAAAATTCCCCCGTGGTTCGTCCTTTCATTATGCTAAAAGGTCTCAGGACGATATGGGGAGGACACATACAGACGTGTAAATGGATCACGCTGACTCGCGTGTGTGCATTCACGGGTGTGGGGTGGCACACATGCGGTGAAGAGGGGGAGGAGGGGCTAAGGTTTAAATAAAATTTCTGCGCGTTGTATGAGAAAGAGGGAGTGAGAGAGCATGCACTGTTTCCCTCGTGATTCCCGTGCCGGTGTGGAAATGAGACATTGGATGGATGGGTGGATGGATGGATGGATGGATGGATAGACGGACAGATGGACGGATGGATGATATGAGCACGCGAACACGCGCACAGAGCCGCTCAGCTCCGCGTTTTCATTCCCCGCGGGATAAAGTCGAGCGACTTTATGGAAGCGATCACGATGTCGCTCGCGAGCTCGTTAGAGCTGCGCCGAGCTCGTAATTAGAGAGCGAGGAGTGTGCAGTATGCAATTTATACGCCGGCAGTCGATGAGTCGGCCGGTTGTTAACGAGGTAGAATTCGTCGCTCCGGCTTAACCTTTTCATTCCCGGTCTTGCAGGCGCGTTTATTTGATGAAAGCGTGTCTAAGAGGGGGGCCGGGCGCGCCGACGACGAGTTGCAGAAATCTCGAGGATCGAGCGAGGCAGCACGAGGATGAATTTTAGATATTGGGAAATGAGATTAGCTCAACTCGATTTTCAGCTTCGTAGTTCCACGAGATCGCGTGGATTCCGAGTTTCGAAATTTGAAACGCCCAGGTGTACGCTGAAACTGTCCGCCGCTTCTATCGCTAATCGTACATTCGAAAAATCGATATATCGTCGGCTCAACATTAGTCGACTTCGACGAAGGCCGTCCGACCCCGATCGACCTTTTCCACTTTGAATAATCTATCACGCGTCAGTGGTTGAGGAATTGGCTCCCTTTGGAGTTGCCTGTATTCAACTTTCAACGGCTCGGCCCGCAATATAATCCATAATGATCTTGTTTTTACACATACGCACACGCAGGCTCGTGAAAAATTCGCTGGCTTCTCTCCCCCTCTTTCTCTCACTCCCTCGGTCCGTCCGTCTATTTTTGCGACCTCACAAAGACCAACTTGCTCGGCCGTCACGGACCTCCGACACGGAGATCTGATCAGTCAGATATCGCGCGTCGATTCCAACGACGCAGTTCGCTCTACCCCAGGAACACCTGGCGACATTCGATGCATGCTTCGTTATCTAATCGGGACAAACCTTTTAGTCGTCGTCACCGCTGTCGCAGATAGCGCGAAACGGAAGAAAGCAACGTCCGCGACGGTGACCACTGCCGTGTCGCTACGATATCATCGTGCGGATACCGCCGACCTTTTAGGTCGCGTGCGGAATAGTAAACGATGAGCTGCGCGAGCTGCGAGCTGTAAGGTGGATGAGCTCGATTATGAAATGAGAACTGGCGATTTATAATTGATGACGGAACGTACTCTCTATATTTCGCGGAGCGAAACCTCACGAGCGGGAATTCACTCCGAACGATAGCGGAAATATCCTTGNTTTTTTTTTTTTTTTTTTTTTTTATTTAAATGAACGTTCCACGCCAATCGTGGAGTGAGTGGTTTTACTCCAAAAAGAGTGGATTCTTCGAATTTATATACGCTATTAGATCAGGCTGAATTCGGCACGAAATGAAAATATTCACTTTAC